AAGCGATTCTACAGCCTCAGCCTCCAGAGTAGCTGGGATTACAGGCGCCTGCCACCACGCCCGGCTAAATTTTTTTGTATTTTTAGTAGAGATGGGGTTTCACTATGTTGGCCAGGCTGGTCTCGAACTCCTGAGCTTGTAATCCACCTGCCTCAGCCTCCCAAAGTGCTGGGATTACGAAGCTTGAGCCATCGTGCCTGGCAGAGGAATTCTAAAATATAATGAATGTTTCAAATCAGTTGAGCTTCTGGCTTGGGCTTGCTTGGTTGATCTCTGCAGTTTGTTGGTGGCTTAATTGGAACTAGACAGTCTAAGAAGACCTCATTCACATATCTAGCAATTGGCAGCCAGTTTGGTCTTAAGGGTTGGGGGCAAGGTTCAGTTGGAATTACTGTCTGTGCTTCATGTAGTTTCTTTTTTGTGAGACAGAGTCTTGCTCTATCGCTCAAGTGGTGCAATCTCAGCTCACTGCAACCTCCATCTCCAGAGTTCAGGTGATTCTCCTGCCTCATCCTTTTAAGTAGCTTGGACTACATGTGTGCACCACCACACCCAGCTAATTTTTGCATTTGTAGTAGAGACGGGGTTTCACCATGTTGCCCAGGCTGGTCTCGAACTCCTGACCTCAAATAATAGGCCACCTTGGCCTCCCAAAGTGCTGGGATTACAGGCATGAGCCACCGTGCCAGGCTGTTCATATAGTTTATTCTCCTCCAACAGGCCTGTCCAGGCTTCTTTAAATGGTGGTTTTGGAATTCCAAAGAGAAGTAAGAGAGAGCAAGCCCCAGTGCATAGTTTATATTCCTTTGCTTTTGTCACATCTGCTGTTGTCTCATTGGCCAAAACAAGTCATAGGGCCAAGCCAGATACAGCAGGTGGAGTATAGACTCTCCTTTGATGGGAGAAATAGCCAAGTCATGTTACAAAGGGGTGAGTGCATAGAGATAATAAGAATTATTGTGGTCATTTCCAAAATCAGTCTATCAAATTGCCTTATAAAAAGCCCTGCAATTAAGTCAAATGACAAACTTGGAAAATATTTGCAAGTCAAATCACAAAAGATTAACTTAGCTAATACATCAATTGTTAACAAAAAGACCAAAAGCTAATACACAAATGGCAAAAGGATATGGACAGTTTCCAAAAGAAAATACAAATGTCTTTTTCTGGCTGGCAGCAAGGGAAAGGAAAGAAGAAAAAAGCTTTAAAGACATTGAAATAATTTTTTTAAAGCTGATTTTTTTTAATTGTATGGTATAAAACTTTAAAAGGCACAAAAAGGTACAGTGAAAAATCTCCTCCTGTACTACATTTATCATGTCCTTTGATTTTACTTACAATAGATCTTGCCATGCAGGTATTTTTATTATTTCAAAATATTCAAGTAGGCCAGGTGTGGCGGCTCATGCATGTAATCCCAGCACTCTGGGAGGCCAAGGCAAGCAGATCACTTAAGGTCAGGAGTTCGAGACCAGCCTGGTCAACATGGTGAAACCCCGTCTCTAATAAAAACACAAAAATTAGCCGATGTGGTGGTGCACGCCTGTAGTCCCAGCTACTTGGGAAGCTGAGGCATGAAAGTCCCTTGAATTTGGGAGGTGGAGGCTGCAGTGAGCCAAGATCATACCATTGCACTCCAGCCTGGGAGACAGAACAAGACTCTGGCTTAAAACAAAACATTTAAATATTTTAAGCACTTATTGATGGTACTTGAGTTCTGGTCATACATGTCTGACTCACAATTATTTAAAAATCAAACATTAGCCTGGGTGCAGGGGTACATACCTGTGGTGTCAGGTACTCAACAGGCTGAGGTGGGAGGATTGCTTGAGTCCAGGATTTTGAGGCCAGCCTGGGCAATATAGCAAGAGCCTGTCTCTTAAAAAGAGGTCAAAACATTAAAACTTCCCTTCGATTTCTTCTAGTACCTTTATTTTTAAATTTTTTATATTTAAATATTTGATTCTTTGGATTATCCTGACATAAGGTGCGAAGTATGGACCTAATGCCAAGTGTTGAATTATCCATCTTTCTACTACTGATTTAAAAGGTCATCTTTTTCATAAACTAAATTCCTGCATATATTAACATTTGGAGGCAGGCAGTGAGCTGATCAAAA